CAAACTATCTAGCGCCATGTAACCCTACTGACTGGTTGAAGAGGAGGAGGATATGTCACCTTTAATGTGATGAGGAAAATGTTGCCGTTATGTCGATGTTAAATCCAACGTCTCTGAACATCGTGTTTGTCTGAATAAAAACACTCTGAATGCAAAAATAAAGTCAGTCTGAGACGAATCAGAGAACAAGAAAATATTCAAAATGTTAACCCTGAAACCGGCAGATATTTGGATAAAGATTTAACAGAGAAGCTGTTTATTAAACATCACAGGTCGATGAAGCTGACGGATCCTTTCAGCTCTTTACAGTCAGTTAGGATCTGACTTTTACTTCCTGATCATTGCTTGTGATAGAAAAGCTTGCAGATGCTTCTTCCTTGCCAGCTTCATAGATTACATAATCCCCTGACCCACTCGACCCCCCCCCCCCCCCTCCCTCCACCTCCTCTTCCTCTTCTTCTTCAGTCTTTCCAGCTGCAGCAGTGCAGTGCTCCGGTTTAGTTCTGACATGTCTCCGTCCGAGCAGCAGTGAGCTATCTGCATGTCATGTGTTTGATTTGCATGTTTTGAGGCTGCTGGATCACGACCTCAACACGCAGCACGCACACAGCAAACATTCTTCACACGACCGACAGCCCGGCTGTGTGCATGTTTAAAGTCAAATTCATGGTGGAGGTTAACACGCGTGTGAGATTATTTCCCCGAAGGAGCGAGCGGCCTCTCAGAGCAGAGAGAGCTTCACTCAGAAGCTGTTTTCACACATGTACAATGTTTTAGCACATTTCAGGCAGGCTGACCCTGAAGCGGTCAAAATGCTCCAGCAACACTTCAACTTTATTAACAATTTAGACCGACGCGATTCGGCTCGTGGCGTTCATCAGGGTCATCAAGAAACAGATTTACAAACATCATTTAAACAGGGTGGGTACACAATTGAAGGAAAGGTAAAATAAATTCTAAAAGGTAGGGAGAACCAATCAGATGCCTCCACATATGTGTGTATCAGCTGATAGGGCACATGCAAGATGGGCTGGTTTGTTGGCCAGGTAACACGGAGGTGAGGGGCGTGTCTAACAAAAACAAGGCTGACATCACAACTGGTGAACAGGTAGGGGTCAAGGAGATGGTTAAAGGGCGGGGGGGGGAGGGCTGACCCTGAAATCTTCCTGATTTGCTTCCTGATTTTCACACATGTACTGTACTTCACAGCGGGAGGCGACCCCTGTGTGAGACTGGAGGTGGGAGGGGTCTTATAGGAGGCAAGGCATGACGTAAAAAGAACGACTCAGAAGCCAACACAGCCAAAACGACATCTAACGCTTTAAATCCAAGTATGTCAGGTCTACGTGTTGTTGTGCTACATATTCACAGTGGAGAACAGAAAACCTAATGTCTCATTACGTGCATAGACATCATGCATACTGTCTGTAGGTCATGATTAACGAGAGTTTTTCTAAATGTTTCCTGCTGTGCTCTCAGATCGGCTCACCCTGATGTCATGTGGAAAATGAATGAAGGGTCTGGCAGGAAGTATGAAGTGGAAAAATTGACCGTTTGCGTTCACACATGCAGCTCAATCCAACAATTTCAGGACGTTTTGTGCATGTGTGAATGCTCAAAGAAGAAGGGTACTGCCTCTCACATGGTTCCAGGTTAGTCACATGATGACGCTCCATGTCTGGTTTATGCAGATGATATAAAAGTATTCATTGCTTGTGGGTCATGTGGAAGCTGTGGTCAGTTGTGGGGAAAGCGTTAAAGTTTCAATGTGCCTGTTTGATGGTAAAGAGATAAAAGAGCTGACAGTGAAATCTTCAGGAGCATCAGAGTGCACGCTGAGAGGAAGTGCAGGGTGTTGGTTTGGATGTGGATCCATCAGAGCAGAGTGAAGAAGACTCTGATTCTTGCTCTTGAATTCATCATTTGGGAGCACAGAGTGAAGCCTGAGTGACGTCACCCATCTGTTCCTGCAGGGGGCGCTGGAGTCCCATCGATGGCGGTCTCCGTGCTGGAAATGCTGTCTCAGTCTAACTTTCAGTCAACCTAACGACAGGCTGAGAGCTGGAGCTGAGGCGGGTTTTAAACCTCCTGACAAACCGTTACACCGCGCCCACCTGTCAATCAGGTCAGCTACACGCCTTATTGTGAATAACTCTTATCCTTCATCAAATCAAAACTGATGAGTCATCAAAACATTCACCCCCCGTACAGTGTGTGTCCATCCAGACATGAGCTAATCACACCTATTTGGTTTTTTGAACCAGGCTGTAAACATGTTCATCTCTGCTGTAAAAACAGGCTTTTTAGAATGGGTGTGTATGTGACTTCCTGTACTTCTGCAGCCAGCCTCTAGTGGACACTCCAGGAACTGCAGGATGTTACACTTCAGCATGGGAGGTTGCCACTTGCATTACATGCAATTTTTCCGATGCAATAAGATTAAATACAATGCAACAGGATAGAATTCAATTGATTCTTAAGTTTATATGTTAACATGTTTAAGGGAGGTTTACCCACATCATTTTTAATTTTCTACTCTACGCCAAATATCACAAATCACATCGGCCTCATAGAGCTTCATACTGTAGAAGACATGAAAACTGGAGCAAGAAGAAGAGAGAGAGAGAGATGGGAGAGAGAGAGAAATGGGGGAGAGAGAGAGAGAGAGATGGGAGAGAGAGAGAAATGGGGGAGAGAGAGAGAAATGGGGGAGAGAGAGGAGAGAGAGAGAGAGAGAGGAGAGGGAGAGAGAGAGAGAGAGAGGGAAAGAGAGAGAGAGAGATGGGAGAGAGAGAGAAATGGGGGAGAGAGAGAGAGAGGAGAGGGAGAGAGAGAGAGGAGAGGAGAGAGGGAGAGAGAGAGAGACAGAGAGACAGAGAGAGAGAGAGACAGAGAGAGAGAGAGAGACAGAGAGAGAGAGAGACAGAGAGAGAGAGAGGAGAGAGGGAGAGAGAGTTCCCAGAACAGCCGATGGTCCAGCTCAGTGAAGCACTGAGAGGAAAGAGAGAGAGGGAAGATGAGAAAAGGAGGGAGGGCGAGAGAGAGATGCACACTGAGAGAGAGAGAGAGGAGGCACTCTGCCTCGAGGCTCATCGGAGCAGAAACATTTTTCCTCCACAATCAAAATAAAACTCTCAAGTCCTCGCTGTCGACTTTTTCTCTCAGCGTTAAGTTACTGGAGCGGCGTGAGCTGTGTTTGAGTCGTCATCATGTTAATATCTTTGATTTATCTTCTTCTGCATGTTTGTTGTCGTCCAATCAACACTCGTCTATTCTGAACTCATCACATGAAGACAGTGAAAGTTATTTGAGACAATCTAATGTCATTAAACTCTGTGATTGGATGCAGTTTGCTCTTCATTTCTAAGATGAAGGTGTTGATGTGCAGGTTTATTATCACCTGTACCTGTCAGCCAATAAATAAAGGAGAAACACTTTGATTCAATATGTTTGAAAGCATTTCTGGAGAACCTGGAAAACTTTATTTGTAACTAATAGTGTTCCTGCTGCACGGTGGTTCAGTGGTTAGCGCTGTCACCTCACAGCGAGGAGGTTCCTGGTTTGAATCCCCGTCTGACAGGAGCGTGTGTGTGTGTGTGTGTGTGTGTGTGTTCTCTCCGGCTTCCTCCCACAGTCCAGAGACATGCTTGTTAGGTGAACTGGTGTCTGGTGTGCAGAGCGGGAGCAGGTGTGGTCTCTCTCAGTGGTTTCACTGGTCATGTTAGCAGAGGACTGGTTTCCAGTTACTATTGTTGTCTGTGGAAGCGCTCGTAGGAGGGGGAGGGGCTCCGAGTGACATTTTAGTGCAACAAAGCTGCTTTGGAAAGAGGAGAGCGAGGAGGCCGCATAGCACGCCAGAGTCACACCCTGCACTGTTTCAACAAACGGGGACACCCTGGACACTGTGTGTGTGTGTGTGTGTGTGTGTGTGTGTGTGTGTGTGTGTGTGTGTGTGTGTGTGTGTGTCTTTGTTTCAGTGTGTGTGTGTGTGTGTGTGTGTGTGTGTGTGTGTGTGTGTGTGTGTGTGTGTGTGTGTGTGTGTGTGTGTGTGTGTGTGTGTGTGTGTGTGTGTGTGTGTGTGTGTGTGTCTTTGTTTCAGTGTGTTTGTGTGTGTGTGTGTGTTTCAGCGTGTGTGTGTGTGTCTTTGTTTCAGTGTGAGTGTGTGTGTGTGTGTGTGTGTGTGTGTTTCAGCGTGTGTGTGTGTGTCTTTGTTTCTGTGTGTGGTGTGTGTGTGTGTGTGTGTGTGTGTGTGTGTGTGTGTGTGTGTGTGATATACCTCCAGGATACTTGTTTCATTGTGTTTGTTTTCTCACAAGATGAAGCCATGTGAGAAATTCCAGTTATTCTTCTGCACACACACACGCTCACACACACACACACGCTCACACACACAGACACACACACACGCTCACACACACACACACACACACACACACACACACACACACACACACACACACACACACACTATCACACTCATGAACGTGTGACACACAGTTAACAAAGGCGCCCGTCTGTCAGTGCAGCACCTTCACATTGAGCGAGCACACCTGAGCTGCAGAACCTCCTCCTCTTCCTCTTCTTCCTTTATTTCTCTTCCTATTCTTCTTCCTCTTCTTCTTCCTCTTCTTGTTGTTCTGCTACGATCTCCTGAGGATCTGGACTCACTTCCTGCTTCCACCCGTACGTGTCAAAAGACGTGCAGCTGCAGTTGCTCTGCCAACAGGAAATTTAAAGACAGAAAAACTGTCGACTAAATGCTGCGCTGACTTTTGGGATGTGTTACATGAGTGTGTGTGTGTCTGTGTGTGTGTGTGTGTGTGCGTGCGTGTGTGTGTGTGCTTGGGGTGATGGCTGCAGGAAGTTTGAGTCATGTTGCATCAGTGGGAGTTTTTAAGAGCCTCATGTCTGTAAGCAGAGAAGTCATCACTGACTGTCGGTGGAGTGCAGATACTGACCTCAGTTTCCTGATTGTTTTTTGTGGCTTCGTGTGTTTCCAGGTAAGAAGAAGCCAGCGCTCAGGCTCCCCAAGGAGGTGTTTGAGCAGCCTCCTCCTGCTGCAGGGTGAGTTTACAAACTCTCTTCACTGAATATCCTTTAAAGATGTTTTATCATACATCCCGTCCACTCTTTACATCAGGCTGCTCAGTGAATCTCAATATTCATCATTAGTGCAATATGAGAAAAAATGGAGAAAGGTTAGTATGCCGTTTTGGACGCCCCTCGGTTTGCCAGATATGAGAGCAGTTATCAGGTCAGCGATGGAAGCAGTCAAGAGAAGTGGTTCAGATAGAAGTGATTGTACCCGACCTAAAAAGCCTCTGCATGTTTCTAATAAGCTCCACGAGCAGAAACGTGCTCAAACTAGGATCAATATTGGAGATGCTTTTGAAAAATGGAGAGAGGTTAGAACACAGAAAGGTTTACAGACCCATGCAGAGCTGGATAAACACTGAAGCTTCAGAGTCCACCACATGGTGACCTGAGTGAGCATCCAGGAGGGGGGGGGACAGCTCTCTATGATGTTTAGAATTTAGACTGCAGTACCTGTTTTAACCACTAGGTGTCAGAGTTACATACTGCTCCTTTAATTTTCCATATTTAAGATGATATCTTGTTGATCAAATACGGATTCATTCAAAGTAAAATCAGAATCCTAAATACTTGATGTAAAGTCACAAAGGAAACAGGAGAAGGAGTTCAAATAATGCTGAGTCATTGTTAGTTATCTTATTCAGGTTTCTTATATTTTGTGTTTGGGCCTTTTCTTGGTATAGTCCAGACATCTGTGACATTTGTGTCATCACACTGAGTCTTTCCATGGAGTGATTTGAACGTCTCATTCATGTCCTACAAGCGTCTGAGACGAAGCTTCAGCCTCAATCTGAAAGTGTGCAGTGTGTCTCAAAGTGACTCATCTCCATTGACAAAGCTGCAGCAGCGAGGCGTTTTGGTTTCACGCCAACTTCCTGTGAAATGTCAGAGTCGGGCTTTGAGTCGGCTTATTGTGCTTCTTATTTTTAATATTCACGTCTTTCATCGCATCAAAAGTAGAGATTTATTTATTTTTACTAAACAATTTAATAATTTCCTTTATCAACATCTACTGGATCAAAAAGTTGCACATTCTTCCTTTAAGTTTTGATTTCTTTATTTACCTAAGTTATCCTTTATTTCATTCTATCTCACTGCTTTTGGAAGGTCGAAATCAAAAATGTGAAAAATGTAATAATTGGTCGTCTTGCAGTTTTCCTCTGAGATTCTTCCAACATGTTGACTGTTGGTTTCCCCCCAAAGAAGTCAAATTGTTCCAGTTAATATATATTTAAAATTTCTGTGTGTGTGTGTGTGTGTGTGTGTGTGTGTGTGTGTGTTTCAGACCCCCCAGAGATTTGGATTCCAAAGCTTGTGTAACCATCGGAGAGAAGGTACATGTTTGATTCTCTTTAATCTCTTTCCTAATCCGACTCAAAGATGATTTTTTCCCTCCTACCTCTGACTCTTATGTAACTCGTCTCTGTTGTGTGTTTTCACTTCAGTTAGTTCTCCTCGCTCGCTCACAGGTTTTGTCTTAATAAACAGTCCTCGGCTCTAAAGATCGGCCCGCTGATCATCCCGGCTCGTCTGAACACTTGTGATTGTGGGCAGGCTGGAATGTCTTTTTATCGTCAGGCAGTAAAAAAAAATGTATTTTTAACTCATCAAATAAGTGGAATGTTCCGCTGGCAGAGGTGATGGTTTCTCTGCTGCTGTCGGCCAATCGTCAGAGAGAAGGATCTTTTTTACACAGCACGACATGAGAACTGATGTTTACCCTCTTTGAAGGAGACGACCCTACTGTTGTAGTACTCCGTTATCGGTCTTGGTCTCGAGACCTCTTTTTGAAGGTCTAGGTCTTGTCTCGGTCTCAGTCTGAGCGGGCTCCGGTTTTAAATCAAGACGGGTCAAGACCTCCACTGATCGGCTATTCTGTTATTAGAAGGAAAACTCCTCTTTTTAGAAGAATAAATAACTTCAATTCCCTCCTCCTCTCCTCCTCTCCTCTCCTCTCATTCTCTCCTCCTCTCCTCCTCTCCTCTCCTCCCTCCTCTCTCCTCTCCTCCTCTCCTCTCCTCTCATCCTCTCCTCCTCTCCTCCTCTCCTCTCCTCCTCTCATCCTCTCCTCTTCTCATCCTCTCGTCCTCTCGTCCTCTCGTCCTCTCGTCCTCTCATCCTCTCCTCTCCTCCTCTCTTCCTCCTCTCGTCCTCTCATCCTCTTCTCCTCTCCTCCTCCTCTCGTCCTCTCCTCTCATCCTCTCCTCTTATCCTCTCCTCCTCTCCTCCTCTCGTCCTCTCGTCCTCTCGTCCTCTCGTCCTCCCCTCCTCTCGTCCTCTCGTCCTCTCATCCTCTCCTCTCCTCCTCTCCTCCTCTCGTCCTCTCGTCCTCTCCTCCTCTCTTCCTCTCGTCCTCTCCTCCTCTCTCCTCTCCTCTCATCCTCTCCTCCTCTCCTCCTCTCCTCCTCTCATCCTCTCCTCCTCTCATCCTCTCCTCCTCTCTTCCTCTCGTCCTTTCCTCTCCTCTCGTCCTCTCGTCCTCTCGTCCTCTCGTCCTCTCCTCCTCTCCTCCTCTCCTCCTCTCGTCCTCTCGTCCTCTCCTCGTCCTCTCGTCCTCTTGTCCTCTCGTCCTCTCCTCTCCTCCTCTCCTCGTCCTCTCGTCCTCTTGTCCTCTCGTCCTTTCCTCTCCTCCTCTCCTCCTCTCCTCCTCTCCTCCTCTCCTCCTCTCGTCCTCTCCTCCTCTCCTCCTCTCCTCCTCTCCTCCTCTCTCTCTCGTGTCCGGAGCAGAATTTGGAGGTGAAGGCAGACGACCTGGAGAAGATCTGCGAGCTGGGCAGAGGAGCGTACGGCGTGGTGGACAAGATGAGACACATGCCCAGCGGCCTGATCATGGCTGTGAAGGTGAGTCTGCTTTTCCACCACTCTCTGGACTTTTACCACTGACGGGAAATAAAATCTAAAAAATGTAAAGGAAAATGTTCAGACAAAGGGCAGACAGAAAATAATGATATAACACAAAATATGAAGCATGTCAGGCGGTACAAAGCGGTCCAGATTTAGTTTACAGATCTAAGGACACCTATTTAATCCCAGCCCGTCTCCTTAACTTATTGATTGTTTACTTTCTTGCTTCCTCATAAATACAAACCTATTTTCTTAAATAAATGTTTTCCTGATGTTTCCTGTCTTCGTCGTCCTCTCAGCTCATTCGGGCCACGGTGAACACTCAGGAGCAGAAGAGGCTGCTGATGGACCTGGACATCTCCATGAGGACGGTGGACTGTTTCTACACGGTCACCTTCTACGGCGCTCTCTTCAGAGAGGTAACATCTCAAACACGACCCTGAACATGAAACATTCTTATAGTCAGTGTAACGTATAAAGAGACGAGAGACAATCAGGAAATATTTCACTGTTTCATGTCATTAACTATCAGGAGGAATAATGTG